AGTTGAGCCGCAGATCTATGCGGCATTCAGTGACTGTAGCCTCATAGTCAATATCTGCAGCAGTTGTCGGAGTAGGGGCAGAAGCTCTCGTTCCCCTGAGGCAGAGCAAAGCTGACCGAAGGAGAGAGAAGGACAGTCGACATCTCATCCAGGCTGTAACATAACTTCTGGGCTGCTGCTTCTGTTCGGAGATCAACTCCGCGAGTCTGGCGTAGAAACATCTTGCACTTGGGCCCATCCCACCAGAGGTTGTGAACACTAGAGGAGTGAAGCTGCCTTGATCAACATTTTGAATTCTCTCCCCATATGCCCGTCTCTTGTCGTTCTCGTTCCTCCTATGTGCAGCATCGAGAGCTAGGTTACGGTGACAAGCGGCCATGGGATCAAAAATCCTGATGTCGAAGAAAGCTCGCTGTCCCCGCGTCCAGAATCCTCGAGCACTGACGTCCACACGGGCTTCGTTAGATGTGTTTGAAGTCCTGTGTTGGAGGATCTCGCCATCCAGTGGAAGGAGGGTCGGTTCTACCATGACGTCCCGGCAGGTTTCCTTCAACATATTTGCTGTGAGATCCCTTACCTCGTCATGCCTCATGCATATGAAGCCCCCCTTCTTGCAAACCATGGCGTGATCGCTATCATAGGAATAGCCACACACGCATTGGGAGGGCAAACCATCTACTGGCCAACCGTACCTTAGGAGCAATGGCATCTGTAAATTTTTGTTTGTTACGGCTGAAACCATTTTGCCCTTATTTGCAACGTAGTTAACCAGTTCGAGGTGCCCACCTCCCGCGCTTATAGCTACTTTTTTTAATAAATTTTCTGGAACCCGCAATAGTTGGCGGCAACATGTCATTTTGGCAGTGCTGCCGATCTGTTGTAATGGACCCACGGATCTTATTAACTTCGCTGGTGTCCACTTCCCCCTGCTTTTGCATTCTGGGCCATTATGTGGTCAGTGAGGGCTGCCGTGAGCTTAAGTGAATTTTGATGTTCAGAGTCAGCAATCTCCTCTGGATTAGTTAGTCCCATCCCTCCCAGTCTTGGTGGAAGTGCAAGAAGTGTTCTTTCTGCTAGGGTTAAGTCGGGGTGTTTCACTAGTTTGGGAATGAACTTGACACTGATTGCTTCTTCCAAAGGGTGGAGGAGGGGTCCGATCTCAGGGATGGTATGCATCAGGTAGTTCCAACGATGCTTGACTCCATGTGTGAATGCTGCAAAGGCCGCATGTGGCTCTGTGTTAGCAATCTCCGATAGAGCATGGATTTCGCTAACCCATTCGTTCACCTTTCCCCCTACGTACTGGGTCTTGAAGTCCGTAGTGCCAATTACTGCGCCTAGATGTCTTTGGCCGTCCTTAGTTATTTTGACCTCACTTTCGCCGAAAACCTCCACAGCCCGATCATAATGATCTGGCTTCACGATGAGGAAGGATTTGCTGGCGTTTGGGTGGTACCCTATTTGTGGACCTCGCGATGTTACTAGGTCCCACCACTTTTTGATGTCCTCCACTTTTCCTGCTCCTGTGAGGTCATCAGCATATGCCACTTGTTTGACCCCAGTTGTTTCATACTTTATTTCTTGTTGGAGCACTGATAGGCCTATTGCATACATTGCCATTGCAACGGGGTCCCCCTGTGTTGTTCCCTCGGTCGACTGTAGGATGGTATCACCTCGTAGAGCCTTGTTGTTTACTACGTAGAGGTCTGAAGGATTCCTATACGAATTTTCAACATACATCGCAAAGCTAGGACACTTGATCTTGATGTTTTGCAGTGCCGCCTTGCGGTTAAGTATGTTGAATGCGTTTGAAGCATCCACCAGGAGAACGGCCTCACAATCACGCTGCTCAAATATCAATCTCATGGCGTGAATGGCCGCCTCCCCACCAGCCTGGTGGCCAGCACACACTTGTAGGTTCCCTGCTGCTGCCCTGACATCATCCTTTACCACCTCCATTATACACTTTCCGATGATCCGCCTCAGCACTTCCCCCACCCCTATAGGTCTACATCCTGGTTTCTTTTCCAGAGGGATAAGGCGGCAGGCCGTCAGAGCCTGGAGGTGATGGCAGCAAGAGGATGCAAGCTTTCTTGCAAGGGTGGCAATGGCAGTGCAGAGATCGCTTGCTACAGGGCCAAACTTGTTTGTGCTGAGGATGACTCTCCAACCGTTTGCATCCAGACCTGAAGGGCCGGCTCCTCCTCGGGTCTTCAGTGCCTTTTTCCACACCATCTCTCCTGTTATTTTCTCGAACAGGACAACATTTGGTGGGATATAGGCACCCTGGAGCCTGATGCCTTCGTCTTCGCTTGCAGGGGGATGTTTCTCTTTCAATAATTTTAATGTCGCTCTGTTTATTGGCATCACTCCACCGGAGGATTCATGTGTGAGAGATCTTACCGCGAGAGACACTTTTCCCACACGCATTTTGTTTCCAAATTTTCTTGCCACGTCATCGGTGTTTTGCTTTCCGTCACCCGTAAATTTTAGTCTCTCCTGCAGTGTTCTTGCTTCACATAGGAGATCATCTAGGGCCCCAGTCTGCCACATTGTCAACCTTCTCTTCATTGCTGCCACATTTTCTTTGTGCTTAGCCTTTGTGTGTGTCCTCTGACAAAATAGATGTGGTATTATTGCCAGTATTTGAAGAGCTAGGGGGGCGAGGAAGCGGTCCTGAGTGTAATCAGTCATGAAGTGAGTCATCTCCCGAATCATTTCTTTGGTGGCCGCACCCTTGGGTGGTTCAAATAAGTTAGCGGGCGACCACTTGACAATTTCTGAGTAGGTTTCTTTGACCCATACGCCTGCATTTTCCATCGACATGCCATTCCACTGAGGCGGCTGTCTCTCATTCTCCTCGTGGACACCTGCTACTGAGGGAGCAGCATTTATTAGTACTACATTATCGGGTTGAGTAGACTCACTGCTATCATTTCGGATATCATCGGGTAGTTGGGTCCCGGCGATATCCACTGTGGCCGCCTGTGTCGGCTCCCTGCGACGTGGGTTCCGACACTGATCTAACTTCCTGCAATCCACACATGGTCGGCTGTTTCTCGCACAAACACAATTTGTGCAGTTTTGGTTCGGGCTAGCACAGACGCAGCAAGGAATGTTACCAGGCATAGTGACCAGCACCTTGGGCGACGGTAACGTCCGCCTCCGGACATCTGATTTAGTCCCAGGCACAAGATTATACTGGTTCTTATGCGGGAAGGGCGGAGAGGTGACAGGCTGGACTGCCTTGTCCAGGTAGTAGGGGCATACGTGCGCGCGTGGGTGTGTAGGCTACCCCCCCTAATAGCGACCATCCATACATCAGAATGATACACTATGGACAAGAGTTTGTCACACCAGGCACTAGTTTATATTTCCTTGGCACAAATAACCACTATTTATATGGTCTCACTGGTGTAATATCAGTTATGTATACTCACTAGGTTCGTCGAGACCCTACATTAAGAGTCCGTTACTATGGTGGGGGGGGGGTGGGGGCGACCGCATGGGCAGCACTCTCGGCCCCATAGGGGCGATAGTCTCGGGACCACCCCTGTCACAGTAGGCCTAACGACACTGACCTTGGCGCCGAGCCTTCTCATTATCCTACCACTGACCCAGCACAGGTCACCACTCACTTGGTGAACGCCGGTGAACACACGGAATATTTACAATTTATGCCGTAAGGGATGAGAAGAAACCTTGGGTGGCAATGCTTAGGGTGACATCCGATATTCACGGACACATTGTCAAATTCCCGCTCCCACACAACGAGTATGTCCCCACCAATAACACTTTAGATCAGGAGGGACGGTCCACGACACCCACGCCGCGCTGGCCGCCTACTACCTACTGGTACTACTACTACTACTACTACTACTACTACTACTACTACTACTACCTCCAATTACTACCACCACCTCCACTACTACCACTACTTCCACTACTACCACTACTCCACTACTACTTCTCACTACCTCCACTACTACCACTACTCCACTACTAATACTACCTCCACTACCACTAACCTCCACTACTACCACTACCTCCACTACTACCACTTCCTCCACTACCACTAACCTCCACTACTACCACTACCTCCACTACTACCACTTCCTCCACTACTACCACTGCCTTCACAGAGGTTCACCGTCAGCTGAAGATGGTGTCCCACAAGTTACTCTACTGTACACACTTCAGCAAAGCACAAAACCCGTAAATGCCTCATGGGTTCATTCTGATGTCCTTCTTTACATTGACAAATAAAGGTCAAACATTAACCATCCTACTTTAATAACCTTATTATGTAGTCTTCCGTGTTAAGGTGGTTAAAGTTAGGATAACCTGGTGGTAGGCGGGCCAATCTTCAGGTGAGTAATTTGTGGGACAATTCTGTAGGTGATCCAACTTTGAGGAGATTGTTTTGGGCAGAAATATTTGGAACATTAGCGAATTTTTTCCCGGGTTTTGATTTCTGGAGCCAGTCCGTCACTGCACACATCAACACCCGTGGCTCTCAAGGCTACTGGGGCCATATTTCACCATCGATAAGCTAATGTATTTATGTCTTCCCGTTCCGTCTACCTGAACTCTTCCACCCAGGACAGGAGAAGGGAAAGGGATGCTAGGGGTGACGGATCAACAATATGTACACCTTATTTGCACAACTCTCTCGCTCTCTCTCATATCTGATAGATTTTCTACTTCTTCTCTGAAAGAAACGAACTTTTATTGTAATTCTGAATATCACCGCAAATGAAACTATCATATTAACTTAAATGCACATAGGGTAGTATTAGTAATGGTGTAGTGTATGGTGGTAATATAGTGTTATCCTCACCACATACACCCCCCCCCCCTTTATGGTGTTCAGTCTCCTCATTTCTTTCTCCTGAGATTTATGATCCTACATTCCCACCAACATCTTTCCCCAACATTTCTTTGAGCTGCTCCTCCTCACACACCCAGAGGACTTTCACAGCTGTCATCTCTCACCACAGTTGTTCTCTTCCTCTTCCAGACACTGGTTAACGTGAGTGTGGGCTGTTCATTCTTCGTGGCTCTCAACTACTTCACACTCACCAACTTCATGTGGATGTTCGTGGAAGGTACGTCTTGTATAATCGACTTTGTGTTGACGTTCGTGAAGAAAATATTATTAATGTTTCTAGTATCCTTGGTAATTCGTGACAAGGAAAAGAAATACAGTAATATTAGTGAGTAAAACACATAGATATTCAGACACAAGGAGATAAGAACACGAAAGATTAACACTCGAGGAGATAATACGACTACAGTAGAGAGAGGCACTGTTGGAGGAACCACAACAACCATTAATCCAACTATTACTCAACTGTATCACAAGTGTATGGACCAAATTGTATTAACACATTCTAGAATCATCATTTAACTCGTAAACAACTTGGGAAAAATTAAATTAGCCATATCTCCCAAAACATACAACTCAACTTCGAGAAAACTTGACTAATTTCCTAAAGTCAGAGTTTCCCAATAAGTAATAAGTGATGAGGAAGAATGTGCTTGTCAGGTGGTAATTGGGTGTTACTCATACAGTGACCAGACCAGGTGGAGCTGTAAACGTGTGTCATTATGGCCAAAATATCAATTAGTGTTCTTGTTGTGGTAGTGACAGACTGTGGGGAGCTGAGTGACACTTGTTGTGGTGGTGACAGACTGTGGGGAGCTGGGTGACACTTGTTGTGATGGTGACAGACTCTGGGTGTGCTGAGTGACACTGATTGTGGTGGTGACAGACTGTGGGGAGCTGGGTGACACTTGTTGTGATGGTGACAGACTGTGGGTGAGCTGAGTGACACTTGTTGTGGTGGTGACAGACTGTGGGAAGCTGAGTGACACCGTTGTGGTGGTGACAGATCAGGGGTGAGCTTGAGTGACACTTTGTTGTGGTGGGTGACACTGTGAGGAGCTGGGTGACTGATTGTGGTGTGGTGACAGACTGTGGGGTGAGCTGAGCGGGACACTTGTTGTGTGGTGGTGACAGACTGTGGTGAGCTTGACATACCCTGTTGTGGTGGGTGGGAGTGACTGTGGGAAGCTGAGTGACACTCTGTTGTGGTGGGTGACAGATCAGGTGAGAGCTGAGGGACACTTTGTTGTGGTGGTGACAGACTGTGGGTGAGCTGGAGCGGACACTTGTTGTGATGGTGACAGACTGTGGGAAGCTGAGTGACACTTGTTGTGATGGTGATAGACTGTGGGTGAGCTGAGCGACACTTGTTGTGGTGGTGACAGATCAGGAAGCTGAGTGGACACTTGTTGTGATGGTGACAGACTGTGGGTGAGCCTGAGCGACACTTGTTGTGGTGGTGACAGACTGTGGGGTGAGCTGAGCGGACACTTGCTGTGTGGTGGTGACAGACTGTGGGTGCTGAGGACACTTGTTGTGATGGTGACAGACTGTGGGAAGCTGAGTGACACTTGTTGTGATGGTGACAGACTCTGGGTGTGCTGAGTGACATTTGTTGTGGTGGTGACAGACTGTGGGGAGCTGAGTGACACTACACGTACTCCATTTTACTGGTTGGAAAATTTCATCAAAATTACTGACAGCCAGGAACCAGAACTCAGATTTTCATAAAGTTTCCCTCTTAAGTGGAAATGTAAAGAGATATCTGATCACCTGGACATTATCCCCATCTAGTATTACCTTAAGAATAATCACCTTAACTCCACCCTGACACAACATAACCTAACCTACCCCACTCCTAGGTAGGATTAGTGTGTTCAATCTTCAGGCGAAAAATATTTGTGGCTAATCTTCAGGTGATCTGATATATCTAACATTTCTTTTACATTACGTTACAAATCTGTATTTTCAAGCGCTTGTAAACCATTCTTAACCTTAAACTGGAGATATGGAAGCACATCTAACAAACTCACTTGAGCTGTAACATAAAACAGGGCTGCTAAAATGACGTGGGGGCTGCATTAATAGAGTCGTCCTCGTATCCTTAGCTGAACCGAAAAAACTAGTTCACGAGTCTGTTAGCACCTCGACGGAGGGAGTGTAGGTGAGGTGTAGCCAGAACATACTGTATTGTTTATCGTTGTCTTAGTCTTCACACGACCAAGTCGTACGCATCAATGATCCTGACGACTGGTGTGAGAGGACTCGGAAAGGTGTGGCAGCTACCTCCCGAACGTGTTCACTTAGCTCCCGAACGACTGAAAAAACGGGGATGGTGGAATGTTTGTTATTTCCATTATTTACAAAATATTTTTAATTCGATGTCAAATTCATATTCAAAGTATTTAGAAGTAAGACTTCAGGTACGAGTACAAATGCAGGTACAATTATGAGAGTATAAATAAATTAGCCTAACAAGTAATTATGATGTTCTCGTCACCAGGTTTCTACCTTTACATGCTGGTGGTGAAGACGTTCTCTGTGGAGAACATAAAGCTACGAGTCTACACACTGATCGGCTGGGGTAAGTTATTGGCTTCCTTTCTCTTGTACAGTATATACAGTAGAAGCCACTTTAGGGAGGAGTTGCTCTTAAGAAATACTAAGGAACTTTACAGGCTAGAAAACTTATTCATAATGTGTAGTGGATTTGGTGTACACATTTTTTACATTCATAATATACAATGTGGATTGAAACATTATATTATAACGTATACGACTATACGGGGTTTACTGATCATCCGTACTAACTGGGTGACCACATTATCCAGTCAATATTAATGTAAAGTATACGGTAGTTAACTATTCGGGAGTGAGCAGACTGGTCCACACTAAAAGTGAAGTGTGTGGCCAGACAGATGGCCACACATACTGTATACTATATACCGGACTGTAAGGAAACAGAACCGTGTTGGGCAGGTCAAAGCTATATTGCTGATGGTAAGACGGCTGATATGTTACAGTAAAGACTTTATCCACATTTTACACCAAATAGATATTATGCCTTTCCCTGTGTAAAGATTCTAACACACACACACTTGTAGAGGAAATACTCCCTCCCTGCAAAATACCCCCCTTCATAATTAAAATACCATTGGTTTCGATTATCCAAAGTGAGACAGTGAACGCCGGGTTATAACTCTTAATGACGCGTAAGCAGGAGGCGGAGCGGTTAGATGTAGCTGTACTGTACTGGACCAAGCAACACAAGGGGTGGGAGGAACAAGACCCCCCCCCCCCCAGCTGCATGCACAAATGTTTCCAGCCGATAATTAAATCTTTTCACACTTGTTTAAATCGAGTTTAATATAAGTGTTTATTTCTTGCTTAACACCTGTTTGACTCATACCTAATACAGATGTGTATTTCCTTCTTGCAGGTGTTCCAGTTCCTATAATCATCAGTTGGGTTATCCTTAAATCACAACTTGCCACAACCCATGTGAGTATAATAGTGAGAAACGAACGAAGACTAAAGAAAAGAGATAAATAGTGATAAAGGGAGTGAAAGATGGTTGAAGGAAGGAGAGATTGTTGATAGATAGATAGATAGATAGATAGATACTCATCTCTACCTTTCTCTCTCTCACTTCTCTCTCACTTTCTCTCATCTCTCCCTCTCTTACAGCCTGCGGGTATGGAAGGACATGAATTAGAGGGACTGGTAAGGAACTGTCCCCTGATGCCCGACAGTACTGTAGACTGGATACAGAAAATACCCGTCCTCTTTCTACTGTCCACCAACCTCATATTCCTCACACGTATAATGTGGGTAAGTACCTCTATTATATCTCCCAAGTACTTTCTTTACGTTACGTTTTGTTCTACTTTCTCTAGGTAATTAATTTAAGTCCGCCTGCTACACCTCACCTCTTAAGTACTTTTTTATGTTGTCGGAATCTAAGGTTTATTTATTTATTTATTTATTTTTTATAAATTTGTTATTTTGGGGGAAGTGTATTGTTGTCTTGTATATAATATCATTGTTGGTTTTTAAGTGGTTTAATATTACGGTTTATAAGTATCTATAGTTAATGGTTTTTAATTATCAACGTAGGAACTACTTAAAATATTTAACCCCTTTACTGTCTTGGTTTATATTATACACACACTATTATTTTCACGTTCAGAAATACCTACTTATCTGGCTTTTAAGTAATTACATGTATTTTTTTATATTTCCCTACTTAAATACTTTATATGTATTTATCCTTGTGTTAATAAGTGCCACTTTACAAAGATTATACACATACACTTTTTTTCGTCTTGTAAGTGTTTATATTCTGGTCTTGAAAGTTTATAAGTGTTTGGCATTTAGAACTATGTTTTTTTAAGTACCCAGTTTGGTATCTCTTCATTCTCTATGTAAGTTTATAAGTAACAAATAGTGGCTACTTTATATACAACCGGTGTATCCTGAAGAAGTGCTTAAGGGCAGCTAATTGTAAATGATGTGACCTAAAAGTGCACTTGGGAGCAGGTAGCGTCATTACTGCCTCTAATTGGTGCCATAGGATGGAGTTAGAGCTGATTATAGAGGCATCCTAATTAACTGCCCACCAATGGCTTAATTATAGGTCATTCACCTGGCCACTCTTGAGAAATTCACGTGGACAGTAGTTAAGGGGTTCACCTGGACAGTAGTTAGAGGTTCACCTGGACAGTATTTAAGGGTTCACCTGGACAGTATTTAGAGATTCACCTGGACAGTAGTTAGAGGTTCACCTGGACAATAGTTAGAGGTTCACCTGGACAATAGTTAGAGGTTCACCTGGACAGTAGTTAGAGGTTCACCTGGACAGTATTTAAGGGTTCACCTGGACAGTATTTAAGGGTTCACCTGGACAGTAGCTTATTTCACCTGAGGATAAAGATACCTAACGTAACCTAACATAACATAACATAACATAACGTAACATAACGTAACATAACATAACATAACATAACATTGAAAAAAAAACTTTGTCACCTTGTCACCCTTGAGGAATTTTCATTAATTTTAGAGTGAAATTTAACATAGCAACCAGATAACTACTTTGGACCAATTTAAACCAATATAGTCACTCAATATCTCTGCCATTATAACATATCATAGTCTTTATACACAATATGGCGGGGAATCATATTGTGTATTCATTCCCCGGAAAAACTCTCTTGATGACACCATAGGAAAGGAAGCGTCATCTCTTAGTCGTCTTTCTTCCACTGTCATTCTCTTCTCTCTCTCTTAAGTCAGTTGACACTATTTCCTCTTCTCTTGTTGTTTTATTGGCTTATTCATTCTGGCTCTCTCTCTCTCTCTCTCTCTCTCTCTCTCTCTCTCTCTCTCTCTCTCCATTTAATCAGCTTTTCTCTCTCTCCTCCATATATCTCTCTCTACACACACTCTTTCTCTCTCTCTCACTCTCTCTTTCATTCTTGGCTCCCCTCCATTTTCCAGACCTCTCTCTCTCTCTCTCTCTCTCTCTTGGCGTCTCTCCATTTGTCCTGTCATTGTCTCTTTCCTCCATCTCTTCCCGTGAGCTGAGAGAAGTTAATTCCCGTCTTATATCCAAGAGGATTCGAAAGCATTCCTGGGAACGGGAGAGAGACGGTGAAGCCTTATTATTATTATTATTATTATTATTATTATTATTATTATTATTATTATTATTTATTGCTCTTCCAGTTGTCTGTCTGGAACCTAATTTATACGAAAACTGTAGTGGTGTTTATTATTGTTCCATGCCCCCCCCCCAACCCCCATCTCTCTCTCTCTCTCTCTCCCATCTCCTCGTCACCAGGTGCACTACACTAATCATCTCTCATCACCAGGTACTCATCACCAAGTTACGATCAGCCAATACGGTAGAGACACAGCGGTACAGAAAGGCGACGAAGGCCCTGTTGGTACTGATTCCTCTGCTGGGGTTAACATACATGCTGCTCATAGCTCTGCCGCAGGAGCTGGAGCACGTGAGAGCCATCCTACTCTCCACCCAGGTATGTGAACGACTCCTTACATGGCTTTATAGAACGTGGCTTTATAGAACGTGGCTTTATAGAACGTGGCTTTATAGAACGTGGCTTTATAGAACGTGGCTTTGTAGAACATGGCTTTATAGAACGTGGCTTTATAGGACGTGGCTTTATAGAACATGGCTTTATAGAACATGACTTGATTCTATACAGACATAATGTACGACGCAGGTTTAGATACACAGCACAGGTATAGCAACTCTCTTGGTGGTAGCTCCTAAATCTCCCTCTACTGTGCCTCCTACAGGGATTCTGGGTGGCGCTGTTCTACTGCTTCCTCAACAGCGAGGTGCAGAACAGCATCCGTCATCATATAGAGCGGTGGAAGACAGCGCGGGGATTGGCTGACCCCAGACACGCCTCTGTCAGACATGGACGAGATGGTTCTCCTCGACCTAAAACTGATTGTTCCAGGTAAAGTGTGCGTGCATGCGTGTGTGTGTGTGTGTGTGTGTGTGTGTGTGTGTGTGTGTGTGTGTGTGTGTGCGTGTGTGTGTTTGTATGTGATCAACACCAGTGTGAATTTTTTAGTTCCACCAAGGCAGTTTATGGCCCAACTACTCCTGGCGCGGCCCTCCTCTGCTCATACGACCGGAACTCCCTAATTAAAGACCAAGAGGGCATTCTTCAGTGCTGGAAGGAGCACAGCCATTCCTTGCTCAACTGAAACACCAACACGGATGTCCTGACTACTCAATACGTCCCTCGGCGCTCGGAATTGTCCCACTTCGACTACCCTCCATCCTGTGATGAGATAGTTACTGCTATCTGGTTAGACGAAAAATAACAAAGCCATTAGACCTGGTGGAATGCCACCAAGGGTATGAAAAAGCAGGAGGACCTCTGCCTACCAGCTGTCTCCACTCTCTTCTTAAAGACGCCTCCTCTACCGTTAATATTTATAAGAACAAGGGAGAACGGTCAAACTGTGGCAACTACCGTGGGATCTCACAGCTGTCTGTAGCTGGCAAGATAATTGCCCGAGTCCTCCGAAACAGACTTCATCCTGAGGCGGAAAATTCCTCCCATATTCTCAGTGTGTTTCAAGTCCGTCTCACAGCACTACTGACATATTTTTTTCTGCCTGCCAGATACAGGAGACGTGCAGAAAACAGCGTCGTGACCTGTACATGGCCTTCATTAACAGGAAATCCTACAGTTATTTTAGCTGCCCACCATTATTCATCAGTATTGTAAGCAAACTAATGATAGTGGTATGAAGGGTGTC